CTGTGAATGGCAGAATTTCATTCTTTTTTATGGCAGAGTAATAGTCCGTTGAGTATATTTATCACGTTTTCCTTATCCGTTTGTCTGTCAATGGACAGTTAGTTAGTTAACTCCTGACTATTGTAAATAGAGCTACAATAAACATAGGAGCACAGGTCTCCCTTCAACGTGATGATTTGCATGCCTTTGGGTATATACCCAGCAATGGGATTGCTGGATCATATGGCAGTTCTGTCTATGGCTAGAAATGCTGGTTTTTCATTTTTTTTTTTTTCTGTGTTAATGCTCAGGACAGGACCTCTAGTATAACGTTGATTAGAAATGCAGGCAACGTAAAAGCTTTTGACATTTTGCCATTAGGCATGATGCTTGATGTTGGTCTTTGTGCATCTAATTTACCAGATTAAAGAAAATCTATCTTCTAAGTTTGTGAAGAGACTTTCTTTATTATGAATAGATACTAAATTTTGTCAAATGCTTTTTCTGCATCTATAAGACCATCACATTATTTTCCCCTTTAATCTGTTTTAGGTTGTTTGATTTTCAAATGTTGACCCAGCCTTGCATTGCTAGAATAAACTTAACTTTGTCATGAAAATGTTAACATTTTAACATAAATTGAGAAATTGCTTAGTGTGTAGAGTGAGGAACTGAACTTGGGAGCATGTTCTGATTTCAGCTTTTCCAATTCTTTCTCACTGTGTGCTTTTGACTTTGGCTGGTTAAGCTACTCAAAGTTTCTGTGCCGCAGTTTCATCACATATAAAATGCAGATAAAAAATAATAAGGCTTACCTCATGGGTTATGATGAAGATTAAATGCGACAATGTAAAAAGCACTTAGAACAGCACCTAGAACATAGTAGCTATCATTATATGGTAAAACTATAAATACAAATCTTTATTTGCAATATTGACAAAGAAAGGAGGTAAGTTCTCTTATTATCCTAAATGGGTACTTCCAAGAATATCTCATAACCTTTCTAAAATTTGTATTTCATTTGTTGCAGAGAATAGGTATTTTGCAATATTACAATGACTTATGAAAACAAGCAATTGAAATAAAATTTAAATTCCTATACTTAGAACATTGTATATTTTAATTCATGTTTACTTCTAATAATTAGCATAATTCTTAAGGACACTAGAAGTTTTGGAATGATAAGGCTTCACCTTAAAATCAC